CCCCCCTGCCAGCCTTGCCCATCTCTGCCCTCAGGTCTGAAGCTGCCCACCAGCAGTGCAGACACTCGCTTTGGGGACGGGGACATCCCTGAGGTGGAGCAGGACACAGAGGAGCGGTGCTGCCCTTGCCGTCCCACCGATGGCCAGCTCCGCATGGACAGTGAAGCCGAGTCCTTCCAGAAGAAGTTTGAGAACTTCCTCCACAACTCCATCATCATCCCCAGGTGCTGTCTAGGGAGGCTCCCCATGTCGGGGGCGGGGTCCCCAGGCTGGATGTGTGGACCTGCCCTGGGTGGGGGCTCCGGTGGCTGCTCCTAGTGGATTCTTTAACTGATTTTTCACTGTCTCAGGCCACCCTGGAAGGTGACGTCCATCAACAAGAACCCACAGAGGTGAGTGGAGACCACACAAGCCTGGAAGGTCTCCCCTACCCTGCTTGATTTTGGGAACAGCCCAGGTGGCCTGGTTCCCCACTACCTCCTGTCCCCACCTCCCACAGGACCCCGAAGCGCCGCAGGGACGTGGTGGCTGTCACATCCCCAGCCAACACCTCCTCAATGGAGCCACCAGCCCCAAGCCACGTCGGGGGCGAGCCCAAACCTGATTTCCAGATCTTTGAGGACAAGGTGGTGCGTGACCGGGCGGTGCTGTCGCGGCTGCGGCACTTCACCGAGTACCGCATCGACATCCACGCCTGCAACCACGCCGCGCACACCGTGGGCTGCAGCGCCGCCACCTTTGTCTTTGCCAGGACCATGCCAGAGTGTAGGTCCCAGCATCCTCCCCCATCCCAAACTCCTCCTTGGTGATGGTGGGACGCTGTGGGGTCCTGGTGACTTCAGGATGGGGTGCTGAGCCCCCTCTGTGCCCCTCTCCAGTACAAGCTGACAACATTCCTGGCAATGTCACGTGGGAGCCGACCGGGAAGAACAGTGTCCTGCTGCGCTGGGAAGAGCCCAGGAACCCCAACGGGCTCATCCTCAAGTACGAGATCAAGTACAGCCGGGAGAGCGAGGTGAGGGCCCCGCCGCGGCCCCTGCCCCCCCCGGCCCGCTCTGCCAGCGGGGGCACCGCACCCATCCCCTCCCCAGCCCAGTCCCATTCCCAGCCCCATCTGAGCCCAGTTCCCCTCCCCATCCCATCCCCTTTCCATCCCCATCCCTTTCCCATTCCCATCATTTTCCCATTGCTATTCTCATCTCCTTTCCCATCCCATTCACATTCCCATCTCCATCCTCATTCTATTCCCTTTCCCATTCCCATCCCTTCCCCATCCCATTCCCATTCCCATCTCCACCTCTTTCCCATTCCCTTTCCCATCCCTATTCCCATCCTATACCTTCCCCATCTCTTTCCCATTCCTTTCCCACAATTTTCCCATCCCCATTCCATCCACATTCCTATCTCCACCCCCATCCCATTCCCATCCCCATCCCTTTCCCATTCCATGTCATCCCTTTACCATCCCCATTTCCATCCCTTTCCCACCTCTTTCCCATTCCCAGAATTTTCCCATTGCTATCCCCATTCCCATCTCCATTCCCTTTCCCATCCTATCCACATTTCCATCTCCATTCCTATCCCATCCCTATCCTATCCTATC